CCGCGTAAGGGACATTTGCTCCTCGCATTGCGCTTTGCGCCTCGATAACACTGTCTGGAGGAGAATATGCATCGAAGGAAATGGGATTGCAAGATGCAATGAATACAAGAATTAGCATTTGCATGAGGTACCATAGTGGTGGCCAAAGGAGAAAAGTTAGCATTTGTATTGAGATCTTGACTCGTTCAAAGCTTCTATTTTTGGACAAGCCAACTAGTGTACTAGATAGGGAGCCAACTAGTGGACTAGATAGCGCTGAATCATTTCATGTAATGAATAGGATTGTGAACTTAGCGAAATGTGATATGAACATGACCATGTTGATTCATCAACCTAGCAATGAAGTTTTTTGAGACTGAACTTATGCCTTTTATCTCATGGCAAAACTATTCTTTTGGACCTAGAACTATGGCTAGTGAGTTAAAGTCTAGTTGAGTCTGGAACTTATTAGGTGAAGAAAATAACAATCTTGAATACTTGATTACTTATTTCATGTTATTATTGATAATAATTCATTCACTAAGGAATGTTTCATATGATTTGTACTGCTTCACAATTCAAAATGATTCGCAATCTATGATCTCCTAATTGTAGCAAAATAATGATATATATGAATATTTAATATTTCTTAAGAAAAGACGTGCTTATCAAATTTTATCATGAATAAAATAAGACTTCCTGATTTGATAAATGTTCTACATCAACTATCTATATAATTAAAGGCAAACCTCAAATATTACTTTATGCTATAGTAATTTGGGTGGAGCCCCCAACTGCCATGTGTATTCACACCTCTGACATCCACCCACAACTTCAAAGAAATGTGAATGAGCGAAAATTTAGACTGCAAAATTTTCTAAATTTTATCCGCTTTTTTAGGATTTTTATCTAGTTTCCAGTTTTAGCTCAGTTTTGAAATTCAAACTAGTGCAATTAATTGAATACAGCTATGCACCTCAAATTTACCTCCTCTCTCTCTCTCTCTCATCTATCTCTATCTCTTTGTAATTCTCTCTCTTATCTCTCCATAACTGTTTCCCTTATTCCTTTTTTCCTCAAACAAAACCCTAGAATTTCATCCTCACATGGAGAGATCTCCTCTCCTGAAAGTTCTTCGGCATCATTGCTGCCTCCTCCCCGCTTCTCCTCTAATCCTATTTGTTCTTCCCTTTTTCCATGACTTCGGCATCATCAAAGTGATTTAGGAATTAGAATTTTGGAAAAAGCTCTGTCCGAAGCCGACGACAATGATGGGCTCCCCCTTCTCTGCTCTCGATCTTGCCCAGGCTGCGTGTCCCCTTTATGGCCACCATCCTCAGCTTGCCACCATCCTAAAATACGCATATCTCTCTCTCTCTCATTCCATTTTGTCAATGTTTAAGATATTTCTTCTATTCCATTCTGTCAATGTTTAACATATTTTCTTATTCAATTCTGTCAATGCTTAAAAACTTAAAAGTCAAATCGCGCTAAACATTTACCTGACATTTTTTAGAAGCCTTTTAACTTAATATTTTTACCCATTATGCCTCATAGTTATTATTTCCAGTCTATTGAGTCCTCATGGTAGTTTTCGACCATAAATATTCCCACTTCACCTCACCTCACCAAAATAGTGTTGGACATGATATTTTCTCACTCCATTCCTCAAATTTTCAGATATTGCAACAAGAAAGAATAAATAGGCACTACGGAATAACTGCATTAATTATCAGCAACACATTCTCTTGTCCTCCCTGCCTCTTCTTTTTCTCCATAATCCCTGCATCCTTAGCCTACTATGTTATCAATCTTCAACTAGGCTTCGATCACTTCGCTTTCTTCTACCTAATTCGATATATGTGCATGCCATTAGTCAAGGGTCTAATGATGGTTGTTGCAAGTATTGTGCCTAGTTATCTCACGGGGATAATCAGTGGCGCTGCATGACCTTACGTTACTCTGTGGAGGATTTTTACAGGCTAAGGAATGAAATGCCAAAGCCCATAAGGAGGTATCCAATGTACTATATTGCATTCAATAAGTATGCAAATCAAGGGCATTATAAGAATTGAGTTTAGTGGGCTAACTTTTGAAAAGAAAGGTGGAAATGTGCATAATGTGACTAGGAAGAGGTTATTAGGAATTTTTTGGAGATGGAGGTTGGTTATTCTAAGTGGGTTGCTCTTGGGATTTTAATGGGCATGGTGATTTTGTATAGGGTGTTGTTTTTGGTTATTGTGAAGGTAAGTGAGAAGATTAAGCCTGTATTAAGATGTGTCAATTTTGAGTGCGTAAAATAAACAAATGATACTAGAGAATAGTTCAAGTTCCATAGATTCTGCATTGTTGGGGATATTCCGCTGGCACTTCTATTTCATCAAAAGATGAAGGGCATTGTATGTGAGCCAAATAATTTGTCTCAAAAAGGTGAAAAACCTGATAAATTTCGTATATTGTTGTATTAAGTGGACACTGCCAAGAAGGTCGTTGTGAAGAGACATAAATGCTAAGAAGGTATTAAACACTATTTGAGATCGAAACACTCAGAGTCGCGCTAGGCAAACTTGTGTAGACTGAGTTGGCGATGTTGCTGATGCTTGTCAATTGTCCTTGTCGATTCCTGCCGATGTTGGGTGCAGATTTAGGGGGCACTTGCAACTTTCAAGGTCAAGTTTACACCAAAAAACAAGATAAAAATCTGGGGTTTGTCATGTGTGCATGTTTTTAGGCGTTGAATTATTTTGGATTAGTTAAACCCATACTTTGTGATTTTTTAACGACATTATGTCTAGCATGACTTTTACATGGTTTAGTTGCATTGCGTGTTTCTCATTATGATTATGCTGAAAAGGCTTTAAGTAAAATTCTTTTTGTGTTACGACCTTTATCTTAACGAAGACAAGGAGAAGTTAAAGAGCGAATAAAGAAATTAATTTAATTTTAACATATGCATGAAAATATGGATTGTTGTTAGTTGAATATTTGCTCTTTCATGATTCTGTCTCATGGCACATCTTGCTTAGTTGATATATATGCTTAGTTACTACTTTTGTTGCCGGAGCCTCTCCTCAGTACTCTTAAGTGGCGGGTTACATGTAGCATTAGATATTTTTGTGATGTTTTCATTTGAAGAGGTGTTTAGTTTCTTCTATTGAGAGCCGTCTCTGTTGTTGTGAATTAGGATCAGTCCTATCTGTTATTTTCTACTAGTTAAATGATAGGTAAATATTTGTACTTAAATGAAAACTGTTTTATAATTATGGGCTTAGACCAATCACAAAATGCTACTTATATTCATTTTCTTTTTCTATTTTGCACAATAACAGTTTGTAGATGTTAGGAACCTCTGACTTGAGGAGATTTCTCAGAAAATTAATTTACGGAAAGGAGTTGCATATCTTTTTCAATATAAGAGGCTTTACTATTCTGTGATCACTTTTTTCTTTTGGCAGAAGATGCAGGCCCTCGTTAAAATTGTACAACCTTTTAGTAGTTGTCTCTCAAAAATTGATGATTTTACTTTGAACTATATGAGCACAGGACAGGCTATTATCCTTTTTTTAGTAACTATTGGCCTCTCTTCATGTAGCTTTGTTCACATTTTCGTAAAATTGACATCCTTAAATGACTGGAATGACTGCAGATATTTGAGATATTTTTCTTAATCTTGAGAAAAGATTTTGAAATTTGACATGAGCCAAATTTGAATTCTAGATTTTATTGTGCAATTATGAAAAACTTCACTAGCATGCATTGATGATTTTTGTCTGATGTGTAAGAAAGAAACCAAATCACAAAACTCCATGGAAAAGTCTGATGTGATGTATCTGATACCTATTTGATGTCATTTGAAGGATGTGTTAATTGTGGATAGACCCATTGTATGGTCTTTGTTTCGAATGTACTATCCCTCTAGTTTTGTTGCGGTTAGAACCCCCCCCCAAAGTGATTTTTTTTTACTCTTTTAATCACAAGGGGTTTATCTCAAAAAAAAGTTTCTACTTCTTTATGGAGTCAAAAAAATTTCACTCAGGGGGTCTATCTGCAAGAATAAAGATTAAAGGAGTAGCGAGTTGAAAACAACGATAGGGCATGGGAAGTGTTGTAATATTACTTTTACGAAGTTTGAGTAAAGAGATGATAATTCTCATTAAACTTATTTTGATTATTATGCTTATGGCTGTACAGTTTGAACAAGTGAATACAATACAACCGGATAGAAAGGAGATGGACACAAATTTTAATCACACATTTCCAACATTCTGATTCTTCCTATTTATCATTAAGTTTGATGACCAAAATGTACCCATCAGAGGCCTTAAAGGCTGAGCATGACCTTAGAAACGTCAGCATGCTATTCACAATCACAAAATATAGCAGCACAAATATCTCCTGTGTCTTTGTCAATGACTTGCAGCAAATATGAGCATGTTACATGAGTTCCGGTTGTGAGGGTGTACTGCTCCTGTTTTAAACTAATTACCCTTCTAGTTTTATTTCTGCAGGTAGACCTCCTGAGTGAAAACATTTTGACTATTTTTTCATCAGGGGGTCTGTTTGTTATTAAATAAATAAATAAATAAAATTCTCTTTCAATGAGTGTAAAAGAGTAAAAACTAAATATTCCACCCGGGAGGTCAATCTGCGAAAATAAAACTATGGGTAATAAGCTCAAAAGGACACTACTGAATGGAGTCTGTCAGCAATTAGTCCTTAAAGCAATGCCTTAAAATAATGCTAGTATACAGTATAGAACAAGTTCACTTTACATGATCACACTCGTTTCAGTAAATAGATGAATAAAAACAAGACACTGCCCTATTGAATTCTGTCCCATTTAGACTAACATTTGTAGGTCAACTAATACGTTTTAAAATAGTTATATATATTCCTTTCCTAGTCCTTCTACAGAACGTGTTGCACACTTGTCACGTGCTACCTCTCGAGATCTCAGCTGTAAATACCCAGCAATATTGTATTCTTATGTCAAACTAACTCTCCTCACTCTCTCACTTCAGCTAGGAATATTTGAGTCAATTGAAAATTTGATGGCAATGGAAATGTCAAGCAATCGGTCCATGGACCGCATGGTTCATATAGTATCGCCGGAGGACTACATGGTTAATCTGACTTGGGAGGATCTATGGGTGACTGTATCAGACAGTAACGGTACGCCAACGCACTCCTGTCAGGCTTGACCTGGTTTGCTTGACCCAGTCAGGTCTTGGCCATTATGGGTCCCATTGTGAAAAGTCCACGCTTCTTGATGCTCTCGCAGGTAAGAATTTACAAGTCATATTATTAGCACAACATTTTAAATGCAGCTAATTCTCTTATTTTAAGCTATTTTACTTTTGCAACAACAGTTATTGTTATAACAAAATCTAATCAAACACATGCGTTGAAATTTGGATGTAGTGTAAAAATGTAGAGTTTCAACTGGTCCTATCCAAACACAACTTAGTACTGGAAGGATTTTTTTTTGAATCATATACTAGTATTCTGGTGTACGTGATGCGCGCATGACATAGAATGTGAGTAGGTGGTGTATTAGAATTGTGTAGAGAATGAGTGATTAATTAAGGGTTTTTTTTGGAATTTTCCATAAGTGAGGACATTTCCGTTGAGTTTTCCATTTGCAAAGACATTGTCATTCATTTTTTTTCTGTGTGAAGACATTCCCCTAGATGTCCCCAAGTGTGATTTCTTTTGATTTTTCAAAGGGTAAGGACATTTTTGTAAGTTCTAAAAATGTAATACACGAAGTTAAGGGGAGCTTTTCTTGCATAACTAATATTGTTATTCCCTATCAATTACACTAGTTTTCAATTAATTGTTCATTGATTAAAAGAAATTTACGATTGAATAAATGGTCTATCCAATTCTCTAATGTCTAGTTGCAATCTAGAGAATGTGAATCTCAGTTGAACAGTATCATTAGGGTACTTGGTCAGATGAACCATATCAATTTATCAAGAATATATGATACTCATGAATAAAACTATATCAACCTTTGCCTCCCCTTAATTGGTGGATTACTGTTCAGAAATTGCAAAGAAATTTTCCCTCAGATTTTGTAAATGGTCTTCAGTTATAACGTTAATTCTTTACAGGGAGGCTAGAATCAAGCATAAAGCAATGTGGAAATATTTTAGTGAATGGTCGAAAGCAAACTTTATCCTTGGGAACATCAGGAAGAACATTTACACCATAAAATCTGGAATACAAGTATACAAGTTTATTATTATTTTTTAAAGAACCAATAACTCATCCTGACCTTTTGTGCAGGGTTATGTGACTCGAAAAGTGACACCCTAATGTCAACACTGACACTTAAAGAAGCTGTATATTACTCTGCACAACTCCAACTCCCTGATTCTATGTCAAAAGTCAAGAAAAGAGAGAGAGCAGAGGCAACCATAAAGGAAATGGGATTGCAAGATGCAATGAACACAAGAATTGGAGAGCAGAACTCAGAGGGAATCAGTGGTGGCCAAAGGAGAAGAGTTGGCATTTGCATCGAGATCTTGACTCATTCGAAGTTTCTGCTTGTAGACGAGCCAACTAGCAGCCTAGACAGTGCTGCATCATTCCATGTAATGAAAAGGATCGTCAACTTAGCGAAATTTGAGGCTATGAATATTGTTGTGTCGATTCATCAGCCTAGCTGTGAAGTTTTCTGTTCGATTACTTGCGCCCCTGTTTATCTTTAGGTAAAACTGTTTATTTTTTGACCTAGTTCTATGGCCGATGAGGTAAGTCTAATTCAATTTGAGCTTATTATGTGAAGAAAATAATGATCTTCATCACTGATTTTATGCTTCTATTGAGGATATTATAGTAATTCATATGATTTTGTCTTCTTTGCAATTCATAGTGATTCTCTGTCTATGATCTCCTCCTTGTAGCAAAATTATATACGTGTAAGATTAATATGAAGGTGTAACTTTTCATAAGAAAAGAGGTGCATCTTAGGATTGCTTTTCAAATCCTATACCGTGTATGATTGGAAAACTTGTTGAGTTTCATACTTTCATATTCATGACAGTCATATTTGTATACTGGAACCAATTTTTCAAGGAAAAAGGTCGTCAATTTCATCATGAATAAAACTATACTCTGAATTTGATGTATGTGCTACATAACAAGGCAAATACAATTCCATTGAGTTTATGGCCTTTATTTAATCTATATTCTATTTTGAGCGCAGTTCTTTTCATTGAATGGTTTTCCTTGCCCATCAATGGGAAAAAAACAGGACAACAAAACCTTTCCCGTCTTTGTGATAAGATGAGAACAAAAAATAGAAGAGAAAAAACAAATAGAGAGAGATTGCACACACACAAGATTTACTGAGGTTCAGCTCAATTTGAGCCTACGTCCTCACCCGCCTCTTCTTCACCGTTTTCATTAATAATCAAATGAAAGCTTACAAATGGTCTATTCTCAAATTAGTATAACTTAACTTGAGGATCACTTTCTCTCAAACTCACTTGAGGATTACAGGTTGTATGTGGTTCTTGTTCTTGCTTCTTGTTTTCAACATTCACTATCTCCCCTCTATTTGTAGGGAGGATATGTCTCTTGGGTACACCACATTCATTGCATGAAGAAATCCAAAGACCGACCCTTCTTTCTCCTAATGCATGAAGAAAGATAAGCTATTAATGTTGCATGCAGCTAATTTATCATGGGGATGGACCCCGTTCCCATCAATCTCCCCCTCCATCCTCATGAGGAGAAAGTTTTTAAATAGTAGTCATATCTGTCTTTCTTCGGCAGAAGTCATGCTTCTCTTTTGGTAGAGGCTTCGTCATCATGTCAGACGGATTTTGGCTTGTATCAATCTTCTTAATGTGCATAAGATGATTCTCCAAAGCATCACGGATCCAATGAAGACGTACGTCGATATGTTTTGTCCTTGAGTGATAGGTAGCATTTTTACTCAAGTCGATGGCGTTCTGACTGTCACAATATAGAGTGTACTTCTCTTCCTTGAGAGATAGCTCCTTCAGAAAATTCTTTATCCACAAGAGCTCCTTGTTAGCTTCTGTAGCAGCGATATACTCGGCTTCTGTGGTGAATAGAGCGATACATTTTTACAGTTTTGATTGTCATGATACGGCTCCCCCTGCAAAAGTAAATAAGTATCATGATGTGAAGTTTTTTTTGTCCAAGTCACCTGCCATATCAGAATCAGTGTAGCCTTCCAAGATAGGTTTTCCATCTCCAAAACATAAAGAATATTTAGAGGTTCCTCTAAGATATCTTAGGATCCATTTTACTGTTTCCCAATGTTCTTTATCAGAATTGATAAGATAACGACTTACCATTCCAACTGCATATGCTATGTCGGGTCTTATACAAACCATGGAGTACATCAAACTTCCGACGGTCGAGGCAAATGGAATGCTCTTCATCTTCTCCTTCTCACTAAAGGGCTTTGTTGTGTACTTAGCTTAAAATGAGCTGTTAGCGGTGTGCTGGCCGGCTTAGAGTTTAACATATCGAACCTCTCCAGAACACGTTCAATGTATCTTTCTTGTGATAGCCATAACTTTCTCGCACTTCTGTCTCGAAAAATCTTCATTCCTAATATATGTTGTGCTACTCCAAGTCCTTCATGTCAAAGGACTTGCTCAGCTCTTTCTTTAACCTATCAATTTTACACCTATCTTTTCCAACAACAAGCATATCATCAACATATAGAGAGAGAATAATAAAATCATCATCCGAGAATTTTTGGACATAAACACAATGATCTGCAGATGTTCTTTTGTACCCATGGTCAAGCATAAAAGAATCAAACCTTTTATACCATTGTCGTGGTGCCTGCTTGAGTCCGTACAAGCTCTTCTTTAATTTGCAAACCAAGTATTCTTTGTCCTTTACCTTGAAACACTCTGGTTGTTCTATATAGATTTCTTCTGCCAAATCACCATTGAGGAATGTTGTCTTCACATTTAACTGTTCAACTTTAAGATCATGAGAAGCAACAAGACCAAGAATAACCCGAATAGAAGACATCTTTACAACATAAGAAAAAATTTCTTCATAGTCAACACATTGCTTCTGACTGAAACCTTTCATCACGAGGCGAGCTTTGTACTTGACTTGGTCATTTCCTTCATTCTTGATTTTGAATACCTATTTGTTTTTCAAGGCTTTTATGTTCTTATGTAGCGCTACCAAGTCATAAGTGTGATTCTTATGCAAAGAATCCATCTCTTGCATAGCTTTCTTCCACTTTGTACTATCATCATGAACTTGTGCTTCATGGAAATTTTTCGGTTCACCTGTATCTGTTACCATAGTATACTCTGTAGCAGGGTATCTAGTTGAGGGTTATCGTTCTCTCTCCGACCGTCTCAACTGAGGTACTTGTGGTTGATCCATATATGGTGGCTCTGAATATTCATGCTCCCTCTGATCAAAATCTGAGGAACCTGCAATTTCTTCTTCTTGCACATCTTGACAATCATTATTTTCTAGCATGGGAGAATAAAAAACAACTAGTGTAGAGATTTGATCTGGGATGATATGAGTGTTTTGTGGCTCTTTTTTTTTTTAAATCAGCAAATGTTTTATCTTCACAAAAAACATCCCTGCTCCTCACAGTTTTCTTATTTTTAGGATCCCACAACCTATACTCAAATTCATCATTTTCATATCCTGGGAAGATGAATGGAATAACTTTATCATCAAGCTTTGTTTTTTTCTCTTTAGGTACATGTACAAATATCTTGCATCCGAACACCTGCAAGTGAGAATAGGAAATATCATTTCCACTCTAAACTCTTTTAGGAATATCTCCATCCAAGGGAACTGAGGGGGACATGTTTATCAAGTAGCAGACTATTCGCACTGCTTCTCCCCAAAATATTTTTGGTAATTTAGCTAAGGATAGCATACACCTTATCCTTTCCACAATTGTGCGGTTCATCCTTTCTGCAATCCCATTGTGTTGTGGTGTGTGGAGAACAGTCTTTTGGTGTCTAATGTCATATAAAGAATAATAGTCTTCAAACATCTTTGAAGTATACTCACCACCATTATCAGTGTGAATACACTTCAAGAGCTTTCTGGTTTCTCTTTTAACTTTGGTATGAAAGTCTTTGAAAACTTCAAGGACTTGATCTTTGGTTTTTATGACATACACTCACACCTTTCTAGATGCATCATCTATGTAGGTCACAAAGTATGAGGCACCACTAAAGTTTTTTCATTTATGGGTCCGTATACATCCGAATAGACTAAGTCCAATATGTCAGTTTTCTTTTGTTATAATTTTTAACAAAAGCTACCAGGTGTTGTTTCCCAATCAAGCAGTGATCACAGTGAGATTGTGTTGTACATTGCATGGATGGAAGTAGTTATCGCCTTGCGAGAGTTTGTAGCCCTTTCTCTCTCATGTGGCCAAGCCGCTTGTGCCACAAATCCATAGAGGTACCTTGTTCCAAGTTCATCATTCTCTAAGTGAAACTGAGTCTTATAGAGAGTGCAACACTTCTTTCCTCTCGCTAATACAAGTGATCATTTGGTAAATTTCCAACATCCTTTACCAAAGTTGCTTGTGTATCTTTCTTCATCAAGCTTGCCGGTGGAGAGAAGATTGAGACGAAGATCAAGTACAAATCTAACATCTTCACGAAGCGAAGTAGTCCTTCCTGGGAGTAGCATGGTAGGAAGCACCAGAATCAATCACCCATTCCGAGTCTTGGCAAGTGAGATTTGCACAGTCTTCTTCACATGCCTAGAAAGACACAATTTTATTGTCACTGACAACGGCTGTACTTTCATTCATTTTTTGTTTTTCATTGGTCTTTCCTTCATTTTGTTCTCGTTTGAGCTTGCGGCATTCCCGTTTTATGTGTCAATTCTTTCCGTAGTGATAGCAACTAATGTCCTTTCTAGCCTTTGATTTTCCTCTTGACTTGTCTCGATTCTGAGACTGTCGATATTTGCTCCTTCCCCTGTTTTTAGTAACAAGAGCATGAGAATGGGAGGATCCGGATGACTTTCTTTGTATTTCTTCATTCAAGAGGCTGCTTGTAACTTGATTCATGGATACAACTCCGTCAGGTGCAGAGTTACTAAGAGACACCACCGTTGTCTCCCAACTATTTGGTAATGAGCTAGGCAAAAGAAGGGCTTGAAGCTCATCTTCCAACACCATCTTCATGGCTGTGACCTGATTTATAGTATTTTGAATTTCATTCAAATGTTCAAATATAGAATCACATTCCTTGAACTTGAGATTGACAAGCTTCCGAATCAAGAAAGCTTTGTTACCGGCGGTCTTTCTTTCGTAGAGATCAAGTTTCTTCCACAAGCTGTTCGATGAAGTCTCATTTGACATATGATGGAATACAGTGTCATCCACCCATTACCGAATGGTGCTGATGGTTTTTCGGTCGAGCTTCTTCCAATCATCCGTCGTCATGGACTCTGGCTTGGAGGATTCACCTTCAACTGGAGCATAGAGGTCCTTGCAATATAGAAGATCCATCATCTTTGCCTTCCATATCATCCACTTGCGGCCATTCAAACTGATCATTCGAACGCCGCCGATGGGAGTCTTCATCTCAACACAAGAAGATTAGCAACCATGCTCTGATACCACTGTTGGGAAAAAAACATGACAACAAAACCTTTCTCGTCTTTGTGATGAGATGAGAACAAAAAATAGAAGAGAAAAAACAAACAGAGAGAAAGATTGCACACACACAAGATTTACCGAGGTTCAGCTCAATTTTAGCCTACGTCCTCACTCTCGCCCATTCTTCACTGTTTCCATTAATAATCAAATGAAAGCTTATAAATGGTCTTCTCTCAAATTAGTATAACTTAACTTGAGGGTCATTTTCTCTCAAACTCACTTGAGGATTACAGGTTGT